ATTTGAGCACTTGTTAGTTGTTTTACCATACGTATTTAACCAAAAATCTGTTAGATTATTTTTAAATAAATTGTCTAAAATATTTGTTTGGTTGAACCTTTGACTATTAATGAGCGTAATATTACAATTACATTTTATTTTATTAGGTTAATTGTAATGTGTGGGTCTTAAATTCGCCATTGGTCCGCTACTGTTAGCGTCAAAAAGTGGCTAGTTGAAACTGTGTTGTTAGTTATTCAATATTTTACAGTTACAGTTCGAACGTATGAAGGACGAAGGTTCTACCTTTTGGTATACATTACACTATCTTATCTGAGCATATCTGTACGGAAGGCCCACCAGGTAAAGATTTTGCCAGATAAACCCATAACCGATTACGGGTACTGCTATTACTATTAGGATATCATTTGGCAGTCGCTAAATGGTGTATTGTACGAGCAAGGAAATTATATAATTTTAATTACTGACAACTGGTGGCCATCAAGTTGAAATAAGTGTCATACATCCTTATTTCCGGCCGATCACAAGGGTAAAGCGATGTCTTATTGAAAGAAGTCAGTCAAAAGAGTGTCTCTGTTCTAATATGGATGTCCTGTTAAGACGGAGTTTGATGAATATTTGCTGGAGACTGCACTTAAGACTGGACCAAAATGACCCTGATTAAAGAACTGGATAATAATAGTCAGTAACAAATATTTTTTTCTCTCAACATTCATTGTTGAAACAGTGCTTGATATCACATATTAGATATTCTGACGAAAGAAGACAAACCATCGTAGAGATGCCGATCTGACCCACAATCAGCACTGTCAACTGGGAAGTGACTTTCCCACAAGTTGGCGGCCATTTCGCAGTCCCATTGTCTTAGTTTCATCACTATTGTCACTTGTAATTGTGCGACATTGTTGCTATTTTCATTGATTGATGTCCAATCGACTTCTGATTTAAGTGCCTGTACTCGTAATCATCGCCCTGATTTGTGAATGTTTTAAAATTAAATTGGAGACAACAATTAATTAGTTTGATAGATTATCTAATTCCCCAATGGGATGTTCGTAAAATACAGGGTTATTCTAAATAACAGTATTGTTACACTTTTGAAAAACTACACCACATATCATCACAGGGTGAGAATCGATTGTAAGAGGAGATTCTAAGGATTTGTTTGACACCACTTTGGTGAACATAGTTGCAATATTAGCCTCTACAGACATTGATAGATTTTAACTAAGATTTAAAATTAAATAGACAGTTTAAAATCAATGAAACTCTAAATACAGAGCACTTTCTGCTCTTTCTAAGTCATGTTCCTCACAGCCTACAATAGTGGCGGACAACAATAACTGAGAGGTAAATTATAGAAGTAATTATCACCTAGCGGTATTACTTAAACTTTTGACAATTCAACTTAGAGTATGAAGTTTTGGTATTGAGATGAGTAAAAGATTGTAATTAATTCCAAATCGTAGTTAAAATCTAAAAATACCTGTAGATGCTAATTTTGCAACTATTTTTACCAAAGTGGTGTCAAACAAAACTTTAGAGTCTCCTCTTTCAATATTATTCACCCCGTGATGATAGGTTGTATGGCCTTTCATTTATAGAGTTTCAAAAGTGTAACAATAATTTAGAATCGCCCTATTTCTATAACATATTGTTAACATTATCCGTTTAAACCCCGACTGCGTTACGATTAAGTCGTTAAAACCCCTGAGAAACAAACGCGAGTGTGGATGATGAATGTGGCGCACGTCTTAGCCCATTAAGTCAAGAAAGATGGCGAACTGAATAAAGCAATTTACTCGTCAGGAAGTAACCCGCATTTATCATCTTAAATGACACGAAACTTTTTCTATTCAGGTATGCGTGCGTACCTCCAGTATCGGTTGACAAATACAATTTATGGTTGAATGTTTTACGTATTGAAGCATTGTATTTCTTTTTTGTTTGTAAATGGAAGTTTGTTGATGATTACGTTAATTATTCTTTTTCCTAATTGTTTACGGTTTCTCAGTTTTTGTTAGCGTTTTCATTCGTTTCAATCTAGGGGCAAAGCCACGGGGAAACCACATTGATAGTATCACAAGAGTTGGACAAAAACAATATTAGGTACGGTACAAAATTGTAATCGAAGATTTCTTTTACAAAATAACTGTGGTTGAAAATGTATCGAATGGTACAGTAGTCTGTTTTTTGATTTCGTGTGTTTTGTGGTTGAAATTAAAAGTGAAAAATGTCATTGCTTTCTATTAGGTTGTTGTCTCAAATATATGTTTTATATCTGTTTGCTTAGTGAAATGGATTTTTTTGTAACTTTTTCTAATGAGCACATTGCATACAAAATTAAATTACTTAATTTGTAGATTTGGAGTTTGTTACCTCACCACACAGTTTTGTTTATTCCCATGCATTGTATTTTTATGCCAGAACTCAGTAGATTGTTGTATAGCGTAACTACGCGAACTGCCAAATATATTTCGACTACATTCGAAGCAAAAAAATTAAACAGATTTTTATGTTTATAAACATTCCTAGTTTACGAAATGCAAAGTAAAACTGTTATATAATCTATTTTTTAATTTACATCTTTATTACGACCTTTTCATAGTCTGTAACCAAAATGTGTGTTCAAATATTAACTTAACAAATTTATATGTAAATATAATATTTCAAACCTTACTTGCAATATTTTTTATTGAATATTTTATCTATTACTATCTTAATTGGCGTTTTTTTTCAGTTAAGTCCTAGCACTGCAAATACTCTTGCATACGTCCTTTTTTTAGGTTGTACAATATTTCATGAAATCGGTTATCATGGGTCACTTGTCTATTAGTTTCACGAAATTTCCCGAAAACAAAATAGGATATTTTTATCCAACTTGATTGGTTAATGCACAAATCACGTTATGCCACATCACTTGGTGATCTCTGCGATATTTATTTCTGCACCGAGTGGGGGAAGTATGGGTATGAGTTAGGCTGGGTGGGGGGTGTATGGGATATGGGAGGGGGTTGTTGAATAAGTAATGTTCCATTGAACAATGTCGCAGCGAGATCCGGCCGCGGTTTTGTTGTTTTGACCAAACACTATTGTCAAACATTTCAACAGTTTTAAATATGCAACGTTTTCCCCTTGGTTATTTCATATTTATTCGCTGGTTTTTAAATCTGCTGTTTATTTTCTGCAATCACAATAGACCCGACTTGAGACGACAAATCGAAGTGAGTTCTTCCAATCGAGCTGTAACTATATCATGTTCAACTATATTTACCAAAATGTTTAATATTTTGTAATACAACTTGTATATATTAAATAGTTTTCAAAATGGGCTGATGAAGTTATTTATGGTGATAGAAAATAATATCATAGCTTGACATTATAGCAGGTTTCTATTTTCCACCTTCACACCCTAAAATGCTAAGCTCAAGTCTGGAATTTATTTACATAACAACTATTTGTGAATTTCAGGATTTGAACTCGAGACATTTCGATCCAAGTACCGAGTTCTTCATTGTTTCCAAAAAGATCGTATATGGACTCTAGAGAAATGTTTTCTTGTTATACGTTTTCATTAATTGTATTTATAAAAATCCAAAATTAATTTTGACCACTTATCATTTTATCATCCACCATCTCATTTTGATAAATTTGCCGCTTTCCAGTACCTTAGTTTTGTTAAGTACGCGTTTAGAAATGACTAATTTAATTTATACTTACAATGTCATATGACCAAGTCAATCGATATGACCAATCGATACATTTAATTTGTTTAACATTTTTTTAAATATCATAAATTTATATTTACGTATGGTTAAACAGACATACCCTACCTCTTAGTTTTTGTTTGTACTTTAAAACATTAAAATAAGCACCTACTCATTTTTCTACTACACGTTTTATCACATAGGGTCCTACGTAGCCTATATGATTACAAAAACAATGTTAAAAAAAACGGCTCGCAAGCACTTCATACGATACGTAAAACTTTGACCGTTTTTCTAAATCCAATTGTCGTAGGATTAATTGCACTTTATATTGAGCTGGAAATGTTTGCAAAGCAAAACTTTGCGGAATGTTAAACACCGTTACAGGTTTAATTAAATGGAAGTCCTTTTACTGTAAGTGCTTTTAACAAGCATATAATTAACCATTTAGAATCATACAGGGTTCGTAGAATGCAATACAACTTGCACATTTGTGTAAACGTCGGTTGATTAATTTAAATAATTTATCTGATGGAATGTAATCTATCTTGGACATGTAATCCATTACAGTATATTAAATTTACTTTTTATATAATTGTTTATTCCGTTGATTCGTGTGTTAGGACAATTGACTTGGGGATATTGAACGATACACCCCTTTATATTATTTGTACTAGCTTCTTTTAAATAGTATGAATTGGCTAATCACACATCAGTTGGTGTGCTACGGATTAAAACTATATTTTTCCTCCCTAAGGTTTTTTTATAAAATATACTTCGAAGTTCGCTTGGTTAAAAGGTGTGTGTTTTCGACAAAAAACAGTTGGTTACATCATCGCATATATTTGTATTCTAAATCTGGCTGAATCTGGCTTTTAATGTGTCTTGTCCTATTAAAATTCATGATTGATATGCAAAATTAATTCGTTTATTAGTTCCGTATAACAACAAAACCCCTCTATAGTACCACCTATTCACCATTGATAACCAGTGTCATTTTGAAAAACCCTTGATGGCAAGTTGATAATCGCTATGAAAGGCGTGTCATTATAAGAGGTTCTTACTTTGAGTAAGATATACCTTGCTACCGCATTCGATTACTTGTTTTATACCCCTAAAGATTAATACTCAAGATTCGAACTCAATGTAAAAATGATCTGAAATTGTTGAAATTGAAATTGAACTTCCTTTGAGTGATCAAGAGTCACTACAACATTTTATCTTACATTCAAACACTAGATCAAGATTCAAGATTCAATTGCAACGTATATTCGTATCGTACATTTTACTTACTTTAGAGTACGGTACTTCACTACCACATTTGACCACAAACACTAACAACTTCACCAGATGTTTCACTAACCCGCACAATAACTGTCCACATTGTATCAGTTCATGTACATTGAGGTTAAGTTTTAAGGCAGCACAGTTTGTATCGAGTGTGACGATAAATAGCTCGCCGTCGACTTGGCTGGTTCGCGTACACAGCGCTACTTTTGGCTCGGGATTGTGCCAATACATCTTGCATGACGTATGACCCGCGGATGTTGACGTTGGATTGACCTTCACCTGCGGCAAGTTGGTTGGTTTATATTGTTAAAAGTATTGTAATAAAAAAAATTTGGCAAGGTAAATACAATTGAGATTCCATTTTGATATCGTGCACGCTTGTCCGTTGGTCTAGGGTTCAGATATGATATTTATAATGCATTCATGTTCTCGTACTTATGTGAAAAAGGGGAATTTTCTAAAATTTTGAGACCTATGTGACATGATTGTATATTTAAATTGAAGGATGTTTTGAAAGGAATGAAATGGTGCTATCTACGTGGTTTTGTGTTATTTTAGTTTAGTTGAAGAGGATGTGCCCGTAAACAGTTGAAAGTAACTACGGTAATTGGTTTTAATAAGAAAGAGATAATGTATAGTGCAGTTAGTAGGTTTACAAGAAAAGTATTTTACTAATCTTCAACTACACATTGGATTTGATCCATAACACCCTGAACCTGTCAAAAATAGTGTATTTGGAATACTAAGGCCAAGACCATCCCACTAATCCCATCGAAATATTACAGTGGTATACATCTTACACTATCCAATGCCAATAGCTACCGATTATACAAATTCACCAAACGTACTTCCAACAGTCTCGTATGATTTATTTACCAAATTGAAACGATCCTTGTGGTATCGCGAAGATTCTCATATACGTTAGTAAAATCAACCGTAAAACGTGTAAATGGGGATGGAAGAGATATAAAAGGCATTAAACCTGTTTATTATGGTTTGGCTGACAATGGATCGCACTTACAGCGCCGTTATGGAGCATTGTGTTGTGCGGAACGGGCGAAAAGGAGCGAAATAAGAGAACGGCGTGAAATATAACGGTATCGTATTGTAGGCATTGTTAGGGCGGCCAGGTGATTTGATACATTAGGGCACAAAGGGCACCATTAACTTTGCACTTGTGTGTGTGTGTGTGTGTGTGTGTGTGTGGGTGACCTATCACCGCGTGTCGCTATAGCCACACGGACCGCATAACTCCACCTCATCCACATTTGATCTGCTGTATTAACCGCACAAGTAGTTTTCCCGTCTGGTTCGCGTCAAATCAATCGTGTTGTTTGTTTTGCGCACTCAATATTCTAATAAGTTTCCTTTGAAATGAAAGTATTCATACATTGTGGTGGAGACATTAATTTACAACGTCAGGTTATGTCTACTTGACTTAATATTACAGTTTCTTTTAGAGGTTGGCGGCATTTTTTAACTTTGCATTTACTCGTGCACATAGATTAAAAGTCTATGGTTGGAACGTATTCAGCAAAACAAAGGGGTGAGCTGGTACAGTACAAGGGCTATGTGTACTGATAAAAAGTTGTGGTACCAGGATACGAACCCACACTATCGCTGGCACGCCTGAAGTCCGTGGAACAATTTCCTAGTAACTGACTCACCAAATAATTAATCATTTAATTAAATACATTACTGATGTTGAAATACGTAATTGAATAACCTAATACACCATTTTTTATTACTACAGTAGCGTAATTGTAGTGTTTGAAACACATGTCCTTAAGATAGTAAGTAGTTTCTATAGGAAAGGACGTTAATAATGTTCATATCGATTGGTCGACAATTACTCCCCAAGCTAAGCTCGGCCACCATAGTTTACCAATTATATCCTAACAATTTTGTTTCCCTGTCCACGACCCCGTGAGAAGACGTGATCATCCTAGTCTTCGCTCATTCACAATTGTCCAGCCGACCAGTCAAGGCTGGGACCGTTTATTGGAAAACTCCTCGACAAAGTCCGTTTTAAGATCCCTTCCAATTCAATTTGTGTTTGGACTCAACCGTTTCTTTGCGATATTAAAGTCTTTATCAGGATCTTCCCTGGGAAACAAGTTATCGGCCGGTAATCGACATCTTTGTTGCCTCGAACTGTATCTGGGCTTTGTCATTATGGAGGGTTTCAGAGTGTAAAACGCAGTCAGTTTTGTAAAGAAATTGCATTAGTAAGTTTTAATTATAGGTTAAGTTTTTTGTTGTTTTAGTTTCAAAATGTTATTAGGATAGAATTCGGATATGTTGAAACAAATTCATGCGTGAACAATTAGTATGTTAAAATATGTTCTCCTTCACTGCTTCAATACGGGGGTATCGTACAAAAATAGGTTTTATTCAAAAGTTCAAAAGTTCGCATCGGTTTTGATAGTCCACTACGTCGATTTTGTTAGTTTGATCAATGTTTTAGTTACCTTAGAGTTGTTTATGGTAGACAAATTTCTGATTTGTTGTCTAGTAAACTTGAAACAAGACGATTGTACTGACTGAAAAAACTGCGCAATGTGAATCAGTAAATTTAATGTATTCCTACATTACTCAGGACTGTAATTGGTTACTTGCAAATTTATACGATGGTGCTTTCAATAAAATATCATTTTACATTATATATTTTGTTGCCCTAAAAACTTGTAATACTGTACATGTCATATAGTATTTTTAGGTTGCTCCTTCTTTTTGTTGACTCAGCATACAAGCAGCACTGTAATGCATTTTATTAAAACAATATTTGTAAACATAATAAATGCCAACTGAGCATCAGGCAATACTAGTGACATCGATCTAGAGATATTTCAAAGGATAAAATTACATAAATATATTTCTCGTTTATTATTCAGTCAATTTTGCTTATACAGTTTCCGCAGTATGGAACACATCGACGACCCTTAGATTAAAAGGTTTAATTTCACCATCTGTCATTAAAACTCACATAGACCTGTGGTGAAAATAACAATCGGATCACACTAATTGTACGACTTCTAACATTGTATGTAATAACCAAGAGTCATACACTGCTACGATTGCAACTCAGTTCAGTCGGTGAGGGTTGACCTTTCTCAAGCGATGGCAGTAAATTTGTGACCAATTTTCCAATAAGTTTAACGGAGCCTATTGGCTGACCGTTCACGTGGTAAATCATGAATATTGCGTCTTCCCCTCCCCCTTCCACCCCTTACTCCTCTGCACCACCCAGTGTACCTTATTACACTCCCACCCGACCGTTATCAAAACCCAACCTTATTTCAACTTACGTTTTACGTGTCATTGCTTATCTATTTTCATATTAAAATTCTATATTTAACACAATCTCATGTATTTTTGTAAATCTTTTAAATTGTGCTTTGACTTATTGAAAAATTTAAGTATAATTTAGAAATTGCATGTTATCTTTACTTTTCATAGCGGACACTCTTTAAAGCGAAAGTAGTTAACCAAGGACATTCTAGGTATTCTAGCATATTATGTGTCTTTATACGGTTTGTTATTTAAATATAATTTTCAACGGTAAAGATAGCTGAACATCTTGGGCCCTTATTTAAGTGTGATTAGTGTTGCGAATCCTCATGATCGCATCATTAGGCATATTGCATACAACCTTTTTTCCGAAGACGTTTTAGCCCGAATTTAATTGTTTTCATATTATTTCAGGCTAGGTCTAGAGGTTGCGGGATTAGCACTTAGATAAAATCAATTGGTGATTCAGCGGGATTTTATCCCACTTTCCCCAAAAAATACCCGGTCAATGGGTAAAACAAAGATGGTGGTATAAGGGGAAAATTGTGTGTTTGTAACTAAATGGGATAACAAACGTTGCGGACAAAATACATTATGAAGTGTTACAGAAATGAATATGATGCTTACTTGTTTTGTTATCAAATTGGATACACGGGCATCCTAAATAGGTTTGTAGATTTTGTTTGATATGTTTTTGATATATGTTATACGGCAGTGTTTAATTTCTTGTAGGCAAAAATTTTATTTTCTTGCATAACGTACTTTTTTCTATGTTTTTTATTCAACTGTAACACAGAATGTTTTATTAAATTTAAACCACCGTTTGATTATACATTTGTGTAGTTAATTGCACGTTTGTTTGCTGCCTATCAAAAACGTATCCCTCGCATACATGGCATAGCCGCCGCTAATTGACAATGGAGGCCAATCAAAAGTGGTTATTGCAGTCTGGCCGTCGGTAGCAAAGCATGCATCACATGTCCAATATTGCATGCAATTAGCACAATTTGTGTCATGTACATTTAAATTTCAGGGGAATATTCGTCTGGCGTTTATATTTCATAACTGTGTTTGTTTTGGGATTAAAAGCGTTTTCCTGTATACTTTCTTTTTATTACTGGTCAAAGTATGGATCCATATTTCTTCTACTAAGTATTTCGTAAAGTACTGTTTATTATTTTAAAGTGTGTCGTATTGATTGACTTATTGTAGTACATCTTTTAGTCCAAGGACGATAGGCTCTAGCTCTGTATTGTGTTTCACATTTCTTTAGGCTTTTCTCTTTTAATTCTGCGCTTAAACTAATGGGTTCCGTTTGAATAATGTCTAGGAGAGCTACCCTTGTAACAAAATGTAATTCCCATTGGTGGTGATGTCACGTTTTAAATGGATAATCTACAATTAATTGTTATGCAAGTAATTATCGTTTAATAATGAATCTGCCGCTCAACTAACAAATTATGTTGTAATTTGTGATAAATATCTTTACTTGACAACCAATATACTATTTCGCTATTTCGCAGTTGAATAAAACCAGACGATTTAAAAAATCAGATGATTGATCTGTTAATTAATTATCTTAGCCTTGTTGAATTAAGTTTGTGGATTATACTCATATTTTTAAAGCAGTAGCACTTAGTCAATGAAAAAATATATATTATTAAGATCTACATTATTTTATAGTTTCACACATTCGAATGTCGTACTGTAATAATTAGTAATTACCTGTTTTCGAGATGAGAAAAACATCAGACCCTGCGCCATGTTAGATGTTTAGGTTGACGAAGAGAAGATCCAATTAGCCCTGAAATACCTTTTTATTTTTTT